CAGTTCCTTGCACAGAGCTACTAAAATGCTTGTAAATAGGGGTGGTAGAAGAATCTTTGAACATTTAGTCTTTGACCCCTGTAATGACACAGAGCTCCTAAGATCTTTATAATTTGCTGAGTGATAGAAGCAGCTGACGCTGATCTAAATCCTTCAGAATTTCCTGGATGATAGGAGTGTCTTTTGTTCTAATGAGGTGACTCTTGGTGGGTTTTTGGGTAGGGGCTGGTCACCAGAAAGTCCAAGCCATGATTAGAAGCTTAGAAATTTCAGCCCCCACCCCCCACCCCATTCTCCAGAGAATGGAGAGGGTTCAGAAATGGAATGAATGGTCAATCATGCCTATGTGATGAAGCCTCCATAAAAATTCCAATAATACAGGGTTCAGAGAGCTTCTGAGTTGGTGAACACATCTACATACCCTGGCATGTAGCACACACAATTCCTCAGGGACAGAAGCTCCTGAACTGGGACACTTCTGGACCTTGCCTTATGTATCTCTTCTGTCTGTTCATTCATACCTTTTATTACATCCTTTATAGTAAACTAGTAAACATAAGAAAGTGTTTCCTGACTTCTGTGAGCCATTCTGGCAGATTATCAAACCCAAAGAAGAGGGCATGAGAACCCTAGTTCATAGCCAGTATTTCAGAAATACAGGTGACAGTCTGGGACTTGGGATCAATATCTGAAGTGAGAGCAGCCTTGCGGGGTTGAGCCCTCAAACTGTGGGATCCAGTCGTAACTCCAGGCAGACAGGGTCAGAACAGAACTGAATTGCAGGACACCCAGCTGCTGTTGCAAATTGCTTGATGTGTGGAGAAATCTATACATTTGGAGTCAGAAGTATTATGGGGTAATAGTGTGAGAATAAAAGAGAAATAAGAGTTTTTTCAACTCACCTGTGTTAAAAGAATTCCAAACATATTTAAGTAATATTGACTCTACTTTTACTTATTAACACCCACTTTTTAAATAGATTTATTGTCTTTTCTTATTCTAGAAGTAAAAATATACTTGCTTGCAAGTGTTCTATGTTCTTTTAGATTTTTTAAGTATACATGTGTATTTATTTTTACAACTCTAGGGTCATGTACATACTATTTAAGACCTGCCTTTTTCATTTAACAGTACATAATGGACATGTATCCATATAAACAAATATGAGACTCCATCATAATTTCTAATGTCTGTAAAGCACTCTAGCATATGGCTGTATCATCATTTATTTAACCAATTTCCTATTGTTGGGTAATTAGGACATCTGCAGTTTTGCTATTCTAAGCAATAATAAAATAACCAACGATGTATCCATATCTTGTTATCCATAGCTTGTTACCAATTTTTTTCTCTTGGTAAAGAAAAAAATATGAAATTTCTTGATTAAGAGTATGTACTTAAAAATAGATATATTTTAGTATACTACCAAATTGATGCTCAGGAAAGGCTGAGGCAATTTACTTGCAACAGTAGTGCATGAGAATGTCTATTTCCACACATCTACACCAACAGTGAGTCTTGGTAAATGTCGTACCTTTGCAAGTCTGATCACACTGGATCAACCAAGGAGTTGGCATATTACCAACTTGGCCAATCAGCTTCTTTCCAGGGCTTTGAATCTCATCTGGAGTAACACACAAATGGAAAAAACTATAGAGGAGTTACTATTCTGGAAATGCCAGGTTCCATTCTATCTTCTTGCCTTTTTGAATTCTCATATTATTCAATAAAATTTCCTTTTCCCTAGGTAGCTAAAATTGTTTTTTGTAGCTTGTGACCAACCTGACATATCATGTAGGTTACTGAGTGTACACGTCTGGGGCTCAGTCCAGAAGGAGTCTGGGCAGGAGATGTACATTTGGTAGACACCAATAATACTGTGAACTTCAGAAGAAGTCAAACCTCTAGCTCCTAACCTACTTCTAAGTACAGCATTAATTTCTTTAGAATGAATTTTATTTTAATTTAACTTGCTGTCTTAGGCAGGAAACAGTAAACTGACCATACTGATTGGCTTAAGTATTATAAATATGTTTTGTGATGAAATATATAATTTCATATGTTCATATTTACATACACACACACATACACACATAGGATAAACATAAAATTGGTGCATTTTTTAAAGAGAAACCATGATAAGCAAACAAAATTTTTGAACAGGGGTGCAGGTTTATCCAGATCATTTCTTTAAAATTCAAATTAATTTCTCTTAGGCCCACATTCTCATCATTTTGCCTCAGCAAAGAAGACATTTGTTTTTGTTTCATTAAGCTCTCCTCATTTCCAGCCTGAGAACAAAGCCCAGACTCCAAATGTCAGTCCAGAAATGAGTATGAAGCAGTGTTGCATAAAATAATAAATGTATTTATTTTGGTAGCAGTTTTACCATGGAACTACCTGGAATTTAAAGCAAGCTTCCCTGATATTTATGTAGTCATGCCACTTTCATTGATATTTATGTACCCAAATGAATAGAGTTCAGGATTATCTATGGCAATTGCTGAATAAAAAGGCCTTTTCTTCAAAAAGATGAAATATTATGAAAGGAGTGTTCTGGTGCTGACTCCAGTAAGCCTGTGGATACATCAAGGGGGCTGGAGGAAGGAGCAGTGGGACAAGGGACAGTCTGCTGTGCTTCTGTCATGACTGAATTTGGATCAAGTTCCCTTAGATAATATAATAACAGTGCCCAGAACATACAGCTGGCCTGAGTTAAACATTTGTTTAAAGAATTCATGATGCTGTTTAAGTAAAAGTTTGCACAAAGTGAAAAACTGATCAATGATGCGAATATTTGCCTATTTGTTTTTATTGATTAGAAAATGCTAGATCTAGGATTCTTAGAGGTGACCTAAGTCCTTTTCTACACCTCAATTCATAAGTGAAAATGTGGATATCCAAAGAGATTAATGACTTTTTCAGATAAAATACTCATGTGTTCAAAAAAGTGCAAAGCAATTTTATTGTTCTGCATATCCTTAATTTTGGTTCTTATATTTGATCAGTATTTCAGTTACTATTGCTGTATAACAAATTAATCCCAAAACATAGTGGTTTTGCTTGTGATTTTATGAGTCAGGAAATTGGGATCTCTCACCCCGCTGGAGTTAGATGCTGGCTGGGACTGTGGTCATCTGAAGGCGTGACGGGGCCAGATGTCATGTTGGCTCACTTCTGTGGCTGGCAGTTGGTGCTGGGTGGTCGGCTGGGAGCACAGCTTGGGCCGTCTCTGGCATTGTTCACGCATGGCCTCTCCAGCAGGTGGGCTCTGGGGGGCCAGACTTCCTACATGGTGACTAACTCCCACAGAGCTAGCCAGCATCCTAGGAGAACCAGGAGAAAGCTGCAGCACCTTTTATAAGCCAGCAACAGAAGCCATACCATCACTTCCTCTGAATTCTGTGGGGCGGAGTAATCACAAATTCACCCAGATTCAAAAGGCAGATTCATAGAGCCCATCACTTAAAGTCAAGGAATTTGGGGGCCATAACTTTAATTACCATAGCCAGGTTGATAATTTTTGGCATAGTCAGCCTACCCTTATAATTTGGTCTTGGGTGCAACTATCGCTAGGTTACGACGTGTTTAAACTTTTTATTAGAGAGAATTCCAAGCATACATGAAAGCAAACAGAATGGTCAAATGAATTCCTGTGTCCCTATACCCAGTTTCAAAAATTATCAACTCATGGCCAACTTTGTTTCATCTATACCTCCACTGCCTCCCTCCATTTCCAACTCCCATATTATTCTGAAGTAAATCTAAGATATCATATTGATTTATCTGTAATTTGAATATATCTCAGAAAGTTAAGAATTTTTTTTAAAGTCCTGATCAATCCAAGTGATTAATAATTGCTTAATATCATCAAATACTTAGTTGGCATTTAAATTTTCAACATCTCATTGTCATAATTTTATTTAATATGTTTGAATCAGGATCAAAATAAGAACTGCATATTGCAATGTGTCAATGCATCTTTAAGATCTTTAAATTTTAAATTCTCCCCGCCATCCCATTTTTCTTTTGCTTGCAATTTGTTAGTTGAATAAACTGGGTTGTTTGTCTTATAAAATTTCCCATTATCTGGATTTTGCTGATTGCACCCCTATGATGCAATTTTACCATTTAAAAAAATATCTTTATTTCCTATATATTGGTAGTTAGATAATGATATTTAACTAGATTCAAGTTTGATTTTTTTGGCAATACTACTGTATAGGTGGTATTGAGTTCTTTCAGCAGGAGGCACATAATATCTGGTTGTTTCTTTAAGACATCAGCAGTCATTGATGCTCAATGCTTAGACCCATTAATTCATTAAGAATTATAAAATGGTGAGTTTTTATTTTGATTCTTTTCTCATTTGTTATCTAGAAGAATTCCATAAAGAGAAATTTTTCCTTACCTACCACTTGGTTACCTGAGGATATAGTTAGAATAGGAAAAGCAGAATGACAGAATAAACATTTGTTTCATTCCCTTCATTTTCCAGTTTTCAAAATAGTGAGTCACAGATTACTTTAAAAAATCAAATAAGATTTATTTTTGGAAAAAAAAAACACCTTTAGAAGGTATAGTATATAAGCAGTAGTGGGGTTTTTTGGTTTTGTTTTTACATTTTAATGACACATAAGAATAAAAAGGTAGGGATTCCCAGATTGGCAGTTGTGTACAGCCCCAGAGAACATTCTGCCCAGACAGGAGCATAAAGGAAGATCCTGCGATAGTTCTGGGGAAACAATGGAAGTGACATGTGTGAATCTTTGGGAGACATTGCTGATATGTAGATGACAGGGTCATTGAAAGGCTTGGGGAAAAATTGGCTGGGTTCATGGACAAATGGGCAAATGAAGAAACACGCCAACTTCTAACACAGGAAAAAGGAAGATTATACAAGATAAGAGGTGTGTTGAGAATACTATTTAGTTTGTCAACAATGTTTGCTTGGCCATAATAATGGTAAACTCGAGTGGCGAAATGCTTAGAAAAAGCCAATAAAGAAAAATACTTCAGAGATAATATTATACCATATCGAAGTCCTTTTTGGACTGTTGGTGAATGATAGTAAAAAACTTTTTCATAGTAGGTGCATTAATTGGTCATAGAAAAATCGTGTAAACACTAACTTTCGATATAACAAAAGGTGTTGATATGCTTATGCAAGGAATATAGGAAAAAGAGAAATGGGAAAGGTAGTACAGAGAAGCAAAACCTTCATCTACCATGGTGGGAAATCAATAGATCATATCTAAATCTATCAGTAAATAAGTTGAATAAAAACATATTTAAAAAATGATGATACATATTAGAAGAAATGGCTTAAAGAGTTGAAGTGATTGATTGCCTGTGGGGAAAAGAACTGAGAGGTACATAGGGACCACTTGGGACTGATATTTTATTAGAAATCTTTAGGCAATGTTACCTTTTCGTACTATTATATATAGATGTGTGTGTGTGTGTGTGTGTGTGTGATATAAAAATAGAAATTAACCTAAAAATAAAAGGATAGATAGTTCATGCAATATGAAAAATATAGAAAAAAGAGCTGCAAAGCAAAATTTAAGATCAGAGAAAAACTACACACAAAAGTATTTCAGCTTGCATTTTATCTGTAGATTTTACAATGATCTCTTTCGCCCACTTGCAGTGGCTTTCTGCTGCCTTAAAAAAAACCTAGGATCAATACTTTTTCTCTACTTCTACTACTTTCTCAGTCATAATTGCTAGCTTCCACTTCAGTCCTTTGCAGATTATTCAAAATCACTGTATTTTACATCTCATTCCTAACTCTAAACCTGATTTCACGCCAAATCCTTTTCTGGAAATGGTCTATCAATTGCATTGATATCACTGGATTGCTGCAATCTATTATGGAATAGTGGTTAAGGGCCTGGGGTTCTGGAATCCAACAGATTCAGTTCTGTCCTTGCTGGGCCACCTGCGGGTTAGATGACCTTGGGGAAGTTGCTGTCTTTCCCTCAATGTCTTCATCTGTTCACGGGGATAGTAAGAGTACGTATCTCACAGGTACAAAGGTTAAAGGAGATACTTGTAAACACAGTAAGTCTTCTAAATAGGTATGGTATGACTTATTATTATCAAAGAGCAGATAGGCATGCAGTCAGAGGCATCTCTGCTAATTCTTATCTACAGAAACTAAGTGCAGTGGTGTTTCTGTGCAGGTGACCTGGACAAGTTCATTTACAGAATGCCTGTGAGAGACTAGCATGTGGTAGGTACTGGAAGTATAAGATGAATAAGACCCATCCCTGCTTTCAAGAGGCCTAAAACTACAGGAGGAAGCAGACATATAATGTGGTAGGTGATAGAATAAAGGTAGACCAGGGAGCATGTTCACCATGACTGACTGACTGGGACCACCACCATTCCCCAGGTGGCAGCAGTTGTTTTGTGCCAGGGCATTTGGGAGGAGGTTGTGGTCTCTTCTCCTAGTGCCACAAAGAAAAACTCTTTTGTTAAGTAGATTCCCTCTCCAATGGTAGGACACAGACATGGAATCTGCTATCACAGTGGCAGGGATGGGTAAGATCTGTTAGGCTTACCATATATTGTATCAGGTATCTCCTTAGCTTCATTCCAAACTGCAGTGGACACATGTTTGGTGGCAGCCCTGGGCTGGCCAGGAGAGACAGGGCGAGGAATATATAAATGAAACAAAATAGCTGCGTAATGAAGGACTAACCTTACCCAAGAGAGGTCTGGCCTTTGCCCTCAGCTATGGACAGGTGATCTCTAGGCCCCTAGAATGTCCTGCCTGTAGGAGTGCTTTTGTTTGCCTGGGGACTCTGGCCATTGGATAGTCTAACAATGTGATTTATGACTGGGGCTTTGGGCCACACCGTATCAGGTCCGACCTCCAGAAGGGGCTGGAGACTAAAGGTCAGCCAGGCAGGCAGTATGTGATCAAGCCCCAGGAGGAGTTCTGGAGCAAAGGCTTGGGTGAGCTTCCCCTGCTGCCACGCTCTGAGCGTCTTCACACGCCGTGGCCAGGACTTCTCCCGGGAGAACACGATCAGGAGCTCCATGTTTGGGCCCCTTCTGCACTCTGCCCTGGCATCTCTTCCTTACTGATTTTAATTTGTGTTCTTTTGCTATAATAAAACTATACTCATAAGTAGAGCACTGCCTGAGCTTTGTGAGTAGTTCTAGCAAATTATAGAACTTGAGGGTGACTGTGAACCCCTGAATTTTTAGCTAACCAGTTTAAAGTGAGGGGATCCTGAGAACCAACAAACTTGTGATTGGTATGTGAAGTGAAGGTAGTCTTGTGATTGTTCACTCAAAATGTACAGTTAGCTAAACTCATTGCAGTTGCTAAGCACTAGGAGGCTGTCAGGACAGGACAGACCACATGGGAACTGAAGGTCCTTACAGGTGAGTAAGAGACCCTGCTTAATTCTCTAGGCTGTGCTGTGGCCCTCTCCCCATGCCTCTAACCACTGCGCAGCTGCCTCAGGTTCAGCACCTCTTTCCTGCAGCCCCAAATCTCAGAGACCAATCCTGCCCTTAGATTACAGGGGTTTAAGGATTGCTGACCCATTACACAGGGACTCAACACCATCACACAAGTAGGGAAGGGGAGAAGCATGGCATCGGAGCTAAAGTCAAAACCTTCTAGTCAGGGTCTCACTAGAAACAAGATAATTAAACGGCTTATTAGAAAGGAGTTTCTACAGAAGAGAGGGTCCCAGCAACCACAAAGGATAGGATATCAAGCCAAGAACAGCAGACTGAGACTCAAAGACACAAAGGGAGGAAATGGACAGAGAGGATTCTGTAGAGACAGCCATTGTCTACACACAACCAAACAAAAGTGACCTCTCCTTCCTTCCCCTTATCTGCAGGGCTCTCCAGTAACAGACCCAGCTGGAGCTAAGGGACAAGGGAGGCGTGGGAGGCGTGACCTTCAGCCCATGCAGGTCATCCTCCAGGGTGGAGAAGATCAGAAAGCAGATCTGGAGGGATAGATGGAAGATATTCTGCACCTGGGTTAAAATCCTTGCTCTGTACCTACCAGCTGTGTGCTCAACACATCACATAAGCTCAGTTCCTTCTTTGATAAAACAGAGGGCTTTAGTAAGCAAGAACCAAAGAGAGGTAATGTACATCAAATGCTTGGTGTAGCACCTGGTTCATAGTAAGGACTCGGTGCCCAGCAAACAGTAGTACTAAGGAAGATTGCCTCTCTGCCTCTGCCTTTATGCCCGGCTCTCATAACTAGGCTTCTGACTTGCTTCTGAGATCTAGTTGTCCCCAGTTCTCCATCCAGATCATTGGTAACCGTGGAAACCTGCTGCCG